TTTTAAGAATGCTTTATGATTCCACACTTTTCAAAACAATTTAAAATGAAGAACATCACTTGCATTATTTTAGGGATAGCTCTTTCTCAATACTTTTATACAAATAACTGACATTTAGTTCTCACTATTTTAATTTTCTTTTCTTATTAACATGGAAGCAGAAAATCAGTTTACTTCTTGCTATTATTTTGGATGTGAAAAACTTTGTACTTCCTTTTCACCTATACTTACAGAAACTGGAATAAAATCAGACAATGTTTTCCAAAATGGTAGATTTTCTTTATTCCCTTATTTCTAACAAATTGTCATCAATTTTTGTATTAAAGCAGAAAATGTGCATAATTTATACTCAATTTCCTTATAGGTAGCCCCATTCTCAGAAAACATTATTTTTTAACGACCACGATGAATTTTACTGGTCTTTGCTAAGTACAATGACCAAGAAAATAACAATTTTATAGAGAAATCAGAATAAAAGATAATTTTTTTTTAATGAAAGGAAAGCAAAAACACCTTAACACTTCACCAAAACAATAGAGACATGTGACGGTGAGAAAACTCAATGTGACGATCTAATCAAATATTGAATATCACTGTCCTTTATTCATGCTGAGAAAATAGCATCAACGTCTTAAGAAACATACATATTCCCCCGGTTTCCATTCTCAATTCTATAAAGACTGTTATCTTTAATAATGTCATAGAATTACATCTTCCTGTGAATCTTTTCAAAGAATTTTACTAATGTCAGTTTCATAGATTGTCTTGTGAAATGAAGCAAAGGAAACATAATTCCATTGAATAACAAAAGCTAGAAAATGGACATGTGACCTTTATTCAAAAATGTTTTGCAGACTGTTCTGTAAAAAATATTGTAGATGTTTGTAATTATAAGCAATCGTGATATTATTCTTGTGTTGTGTCATGTTGACAGAAAAAAGTCATAAAATTCCAGAAAAGAGATTATTAGCCTCAGCTAGGATTAGAAAGAATATTTTGATACAATTGTTTACTTTGTTATTTTAAAAGTTTCATTGTTTCCATACCAAGGTGACCTTGGCTTTAAGCTGCCTAAAACCCTAATAAAATAGCTCAGAAAAACATTTTTATAGCCAATTAAAATTAAAAACAAAATCAACTGAATTTAATCATTTTAGTTAAACTTTATTTATTGCCAAAAGTAAAAATTTGACGGTTAAAATGCAAACATAATAGGTCAACATTTAACCAAACATAATAGGTAACAGTCAAGGTGAGTAGAAGGTCAACAGTCAAGGTGAGCAGAAAGTCAAATTATTTTTACACCAATGTAAGGTAATGCACCAAACAGTCAAAAATATAATGAGGCTGGTATATAAAATGTAGATTTTCTAGATGGAAAAGCCTTTCAAATTATTTTTTTTTAATTTGGTCAAGGTCACAGATAAGTCAAAAGGTATATATGACAAACTGCCAAAAATATGTTCTTACTCCAATGTTGAAAGCTATTTTATTGCCTTTAATATCTGTATTTGACAAAACCTTTTGGAATGAAGGGGGCCTCAATGCTCTTCAACTTCATACTTGATTTGACCTTTTAACTTTATTGATTTGACCTTTTAACTTTATTGATTTGACCATTGAACTTTATTGATTTGAGTGTCACTGATGAGTCTTTTTAAATAAATCATGCATGTGTCTGGCATCCAAATTAAAAGCCTGATATCTTTGATATCTTATGATATCTAAACATTTTGTTTTTGCACTTTAACTGGTGTTTCTTTGGTAATATTTATATACACCTTTTATATTCTAATTGGCACGAGCTATATACTTTATAGAATTACTGAAATTAGATACCCTGCATTTATGATGCTATTTCAATAGCATATGTTCAAATGGCTGAAAGACCCCCCTCCTAATTTATTGAAAACTATCATTCTGTAATGACAATAATATCTTGGTCAATGCTCTCAATGTGTATCTAATACATACAACTAAAGTGAAATATGTCACCCACAAATGTTCAAATCAAGAAACAATTTGTCTACTTATAACAAGTTTAACTGTTCAAACTCTGTCAGTTAACTCAGATGTTTAGACAATAATAATTTCTTTGGGGAATATCAGAAATTCTGATACATTTCCAATATTTTCACTTAAGAATGACATAAAGTCTGTAAAGACTTGCTTTTATAGCAGTGCTATTTAATATTTACAAATAGCTTTTTGCACCTCCTATATAATTGAAAGTTTCCCAGTTTGAATCTTTCAAAAATAATGTAGGTTCACACTTAAAAGACAATTACATAGCTAGTTTTTTTCTTAAGTAATTAAATTTACTGCCTAGCTTACTGGCCCATGACCTATATTTCAGCAAGACTTATTATTTAACAGAAAATAATTGCAGTTTATATGCTTACCTACCAGGATTCCTATCGCTTATATACAACTTATATTTTTTCACTTTTTATTTGTAATATGGTAGCTACTCAACATTCTCAAATTTATTTGGTTTTTTTTTGTTACTTTTTTGAAATTTTCTGTTTTTGTATTCTAAGGCAATTAGATCAAAAGTCCATGAAATAAGTATCAACAATTTGGTAAAATGTACAATGAAATTGTATTATTTTTCAACTTATCAAGATGACATATTTTCAGATTGGGACAGCACTAGCTCAATAAAGGACTGACAGAAATGGGTGCTAAAATGTCTGGTAAAACTTGAACTGAAGTAAGACTCCCCAATAGCCAATCCAGAGTTCATAATTGTCCATAATTGACCAAAACTTTTGGAAATTCACAAACAAAGGAAAAAAAATTGCCAAGCAAGACCTATGTTTTTAAATATTATTCATGTGATACATGATCTATTGGAAAGAATCCTTCATTTATGAAAATGTTGTTATTTTAAATTTAGGGACCAATCATACATAAGTGAAAATAACATTTTATAAAGTTCCTGTGTCTGAAGCGCTGAATTGCATCAGAGTTGTACATTATACAATTTGCAGTTTTATACCTGTTACGTTTTTTGCCACATAATTTGGTACCATCAACTCTCTTTTTTCTTCCATGTTTTATAAAATTTAATACAATTCTCTTTTTTCTTTTTTTTTTGTATTTAAAAACTTTTACAAAGTTTTTTTCCCTTCTTTCTTTCTCTCTCTTTTCTTTTCATTAATCATTTATCCATCTTTTTTCCATCTTGAATAACTAAATAATCATTTAACAATATTATATATATATCTATGTTAGTACTTAAAAGTAAACGCAAGCCCCTTTGACATATTGTCAGCAAATATTGTCTCAACGTCTCCTGTACAACCTATCTATTTTTGTCCCCCTCCCAATACCCTAATAAAGTTGTTCTTATGAAAGATAAAAAATGTCGAAAACTGAAATCATTAAATAACAATGTCAACAAAATAGGAGATTTACATGTCTTTCTATCAAGCCTGTTTATTTTTTGTTAGAAAATGAAATCCCTTGCCACATACGGAAAAATGAAATCCTCTCATCAGAAAACAAAAATATAAGATGGCAATCCATTTGGGTATTCTTATATCTATAAATAGTATAGTATATTCAGCATCATCAGAAAATACCCATTGAAAATGGATTATCTTCTTAAAAGATAAACAAAATTCAGATAGTACTTTTAAATCCCTATCTGCCTATATATAAGAATCTGGCAGTGGTGAAAACATGACAAACAAAAACCCACTCAAGTTGACATTAATTTATGTTCAAATTGTATGATGGTGCATGAATATATCATTACATTCGTTTCCTTTTCCTTTTCTGGTAGTTCAAGATATAATTTGGTTGAAATGCATTAGAAATTAAAAATTAAGGGGAGCTAACTCAGTAATTTGCTATCTTTCTAACCAAAAATTATCTAGAGATTTCTCAAATTACCAGACACGCAGAAACAAAAGACCTTCCAATTCTAACTCAAGATGAGGGTAACTTCAAAATAGAATGGTTAGGTTGGTGGGGTTTTTTTTTTTTCTGTCATGTTTTGAAATTTTTCTAAATTGCTTGATTCTTACAAAGACGGGCACTTAAGAGTGCATTTGTTTCTAATCTAAATGATGTAAATAAGAACGTGTGTAGTCGTTTAATCCATTTGTGACCATTGTTTTTCTGTCAATGTTGACATTGTTCACATAAACTGAATTCACACTAATTTAAACCCCCTCAATCCTTGGTTTTGCTTGTTCTAGTTTGGACACAAAACCAAAATCGAATAATCGAATTCTTCCTTTCTCATGTCAAATTTCAGACTTTAAATACACATAATAAACTAAGCAAAAGGTATCATGAAAATTCTGAGTGTCTACAAATAGATAACTTTATAAACAGCACCATACCAAAAAAGTTCTGTGGTAAAGAAAATTAAGTGATATCATAAAATCTATGTTTTAAGCTGTAACAAATAAATCATAAAGATTTATAAATCTTAATTAAGACACTTATACTCATAATTTCACAAGTGCAATTTCATATAAGTTTTCCAGATTTAAATAACCACACCCTATAACCAGCTATCGTTACAGCAGACGACAATTGCTATTAAAGACAATTGGTTTTCCATTAATGTACAGCAGATTTTTCTCAGCTGTTCCGACCGCCATTGCAATACAATGTATATGCAATTGTGTACTGCACATTTTGATCTATTTTACCTATTGCATCATTAGCACCGATACAGAGTTCTCGAAAAGTGGTGGTCCGAAGGTTTTGACCACCAAAATTTTCAAAGGACTGACACAATTTCGGTATTTTGCAATAGAAGTAATAGTGTGGACCAGCAGATTTTCTTCAAAGACCACCAGGGAAAAAAAGATTGCGAGAACTCTACTGATAGCTGATAGCATGTATTGTATTGAGGGTGTGATGACTTGGTATTTGTTTCAGAAAGAATTTCCTACTTCATGTGCTCAATATAAGTTTAAGATGGAGAAAAGGTTTAAGTTTTACTTTGGTTTGGTTAAATCAAGTTTGACTATACATACCTTTTATAAGATCCGAGGCATTAAGTGTTTTATGTATGGTCTGGGGACTGGAGAAAAACTCTGTCATCTCCTGCTTTATAACTTTGTTGTTTTCAGCCAGAACTAAGTACACATCATTTTTCAACACTGAAAGTAGAAAATAAATTAAAATTTCAATTCAACTGATAAAGTTAAATGCATGTGAGGCCTCGGTGGCTGTGAGGCCTCCGTGGCTGTGAGGTCTATGTTGTACATCCTCTGTTTCTTTAGCCTGTCAACACCGAGGTTGTGGGTTCAAACCCAACATGTGCGTTGTGGGTTCAAATCTAATCTTGATTGACAGGGGTTGTCAGATTTCCTGCCCAATGTTGGTGGTAATCTCAGGCACTAAAGCTTCTTCCACCAATAAAGACTGACCGCCACAATATAGCCAATATTGCTGAAAGTGGTGTTAGACACCAACAATCAATCAAACTAAAGCAAAATGAAATAAAATGAAAGTAACCTGTCTGGCCCAAAGTCAATCAAGAGATTTCAAAACCAAATTTTCTTTCTCTGATAAAAAATAAAGTCCCTAACTACAAGCTAGTTCATACATATGACACTGCAATTAAAACTAAAATCTCGTTTGCATAATACAGTTAAAGAAATGCTTATAACTATAATTTTAAAGATAGGGTATGGGATTAAAAATTCTTTATTCTTTTTATTTATCTTTTTACTTAATTCAATTTTTTATTAAATTCTCTATATCATATTGTCTTCAGATTGCAATAAACACGACAATGATAGCCTTTTTGGAGATACAGACTTTAGAAAGTTGATTTTTTTAACAAAACCTTGCTAGAATCAAAGAAAAATTATTTGGAGAGTATTTTTTGGTGGCTTTTCTTACCGTAATTTGTACTTATCTCCCTTGCCTATCATTTTTGCACTTAAAAACACGTTTCTCATCCTAGCGTTGAAAAGACATCTCAGTTCCATTAGGGCTATAGAAAATATATTATTTTGCCTTTGGTATAATGCAGAGTGCACGAAGTCTCTAATAATAAAAAATAACGGGTGCACATATCGACCAATCAGGATTAGCCATACTCTTAATTCTGAATACCATGTTATCTTCATAAAATGGCTGTGCCCATAAAATGTAATGGTTTATTGTAACCTTCATTAGATTTCTTTTGATCAGTTATTTTGCAAGCAATTTTGTATGCAAAGCACTACAAGTATGGGCGATATCTCTAAATTTGTCTCAAATCTATTTAAAATATTTTCAATGTCATTTCATTTCAATTAAAATGAATATTCTATTCACATTTGTAAATCTTTACAAAGAATGTACTTAAAAATTCTTTACAAAATGGTAATAGCAATAATTAAGCTTTTATTGATATATATATATATATATATATATATATAAATTCAATCATATTAAGAGTAAACTGCTTGTTAAATGTCAAAGCACTTTTAGTAAAAACTTTCGAATACCTTTTTAGAGAAGACTAAAAAAGTTGAAATAATCACTTAGCAATGACTGTGAGTGTTCTATTCTTATATAATTTTGATTGACATTTAGAAATTACCACTTTAAGGTTTATGATGTCATATTTTAAAAGACATACTGGCAACATGATTGATCAGATTTGTATAACCATCCACTTAAGCCTCTTGTCACTATCAAAGTTAACTTGGTCAAAGATTTCTTTTGACCAGGAAAACTTAATTGGGCTTAGTCATCTGTTGTCACTATAAGCTTTTCATCAAAAACTTGGTCAAAGAAAAGTAAACTTGGTCATGTCATCTGTTGTCAAAGAAAAAACTGCTCTGTGATTGGATAGTTCCCATCCAAGTCCATCCAAGTTTCAAGAAAAATAAGATGAGATTCTATTCCATCCAAGTCTGTCAAAGTGTTTTGTTAAAAGCCTTAGTTTGACAGTTAATCAATCAAAAACTTTGACCAAGAAAACTCCTACAAGAAAACTTTGATAGTGACAATGGGGCTCAAGACATAATAATTGGACAAAACAACCTCTCCTATGTTTACATACTCAATTGTTTTAAAACATCTGTTTGTTAACTAATATTATCATTCTTTTAATCAGCCTGCATTGACAGATTTATAGCTCTACTTTACCACTTCGTAATTGAGAGAAGATATAAAATTTGCATATTTATAAGAATGAAGATTTCAAATTTGAAAGAAAAAATCGTTAAGTCCATTCCATTCCAGTCAAACAGTACAGTCCAGTCCAGTCCATGGGTCAAGTCCAAATGTCCAGTCTCAATTTTTCACTAAAGACCAAAAGCAACTCACAAAATTGATGTAAGCAATTTACATAAGTTGCTTACACAATTCCACACAAAAAATTGTCAATATGATAAGAAATCTTCTTTTCTGTACTTGATTTTTATCTGATAACTAATTTCCCATTCTGACATTCCATTAAATAAACCATATTACATCTGAGACATATGGCAACTTTTGATATCATATAATTTATAGCCCAGGAAAATTCACCAGTGGCTGTGAACCATTTTTTTCCTTAAAAAGAACCAAGAATGTCGTCCATAAAAAAAAATGAATTCACACCCTTAAAAGATTTAAACCAAAAAAATTTATTAAGAGGATTATTTATTTATTTGGTTTAAATCATCTTGGATTCAAAGAAACTGGGTTTTTTATGCATTTTTTATTCAACTTTTGAACAAAAACTTAACCTATCTACACTACAGCCTTAATTTAGAAGAAAATGCAAACACTTTTTGAACTGTAAATCCACCTTCCTAAGATAAATTTTATCAAAGGTTTTTCAAAGGGAGATAACTTCTTTGAAGAACAACCTAAAAGGGATTATTCTTCTGTATTTGGTGCTTGAAGTTTAAGTGCAAATGAGCTTGTTTTGAAAAAAAATATTTTTGATGAAATTTAAGCAAACTTATTCAAATGTGGTATACAAGAAAAGTAAGAAAATTAGAAAACTTTTAAAAAGGAAATAAATTTTTCATAATCAGCTTTAATGTAGCACACTTATTAAAAAGGGCCGTAACTTTAGAAATTATCTAACTTTTAAAGACAAATTTCAATCAAAGATAAGATCTCTTTTTTCAAATTAAGAAGTAATAAAATAAACACTGTTTTCACATGAATAAGACAAATTTAAAAAAAACATAAATTCACTTTTATAGATTATATGCTGTGACCCTAAAGTCTAATCAAAAGCCAACTATTAAAAAGATGAACTTTTATCAAAAACAAAAGATAGGAACAACGTTTATAACTTCCAGCAGGCACACTTTTAAAATAAACCACAGGAATAACCAATAAAAAATATACTCCATTGAACTTAGTTACCTAAGTGTTGACAATATAGGAGCAGAATAATTATATAATACTTAAGTCTGCTAGCGGGAGGGGCGTGTTTGAAGTTTGTTTACATCTTTTCTCAGTGACACATGTTTTTCCTCTTGGTCTGATAGAGCAATAACCATCCGTGGGAAAAAGTAACCTAACTCCCTGATCTGGGTCATTTTTACATCTTTTTGTGTATGACAAAAATGTTTACTATTAAAACATTGGTTAAACATGTGTTTTTGATGAAGTGGTTTTCAATTTGTAACCAGCCAAAATATAATTTTATTCACAGACAGGGCAATTTAGGATAATTTGAAAGCATACTGTTTATTACATAATGTGTGTTAAACTTTTCTATAAGTCAAAGTCATTATATGACAAAAAGTTGTCCTCAAACAAAGAAAATGTAATATTTGTTAAAAATATGAGTCAAAATAATTTTCCAGTCACTGTTCACAGTTTAAATTTGCCAGTTAAACAAACTTTCTGGTTGTTTTTTTTTTCAACCTGAGAATTAAGAGCTGCCATGCTGAAGATGGCATGATAGGAAGGAGGCCATTAAACCAGCCATCTGTCAAATACAATCCTGTAGTTTTTATAGTTGACAACTGTCAGGCAAGGGCAAGGTCAGGCAGGAACATAGCAGGCAGTCAGATGACATGGTTAAACAGAAATATGTTTCAAATATAATACTGGATGTCAAGGAGACAGCAACACAAACATCAGTTTCTTTAAAATCAACTTAGGGAGCTACCATTTGATTTTTAGGGGAGGGGGGGGGGCTAAGATGAAATTTGAAAAAAAGGCAGGACAGGAGTTTTGAGTAAAAAAAAAAGGCAGGATGAGCAACTTGGCAAAAAAAAAAAAACAGGATGACAATTTATGTAAAAAAAGTCAAGATAAACTAATAAAAAAAAAGGCAGGACCGAATAAAGTGAAAAATAAAAAGGCAGGACAGAGATTACAACTAAAAAAAAATGCAGGACAAAATTTTTCATCCTAGCCCCCCCCCCCCCCCCTCCCATAAAAATCAAATGGTAGCTCCCTTGGTGGTGTGTTTTTGTGTTGTGTTTTTGTTTTGGTTTAGTGAGATTTGTGGTTCACAGTCCTTGTTTTTTTCTGTGTCATGTTTTGTGGACTGCTATTTGCCTTTTCCTTTTGACCATGCTGGTCTGCTCTTTTTTTATAGCCCCTGTGGTACCAATTCCCTCTTTTTTTAATTATCTAACCTGTGACAGCATTTTAAAGATGTCATTTTTTCATTACTTTATACAGACAACAATTTTACATATACATAGCATCATTTACACATCAATATGTTTTGGACACATAAGACAAACTAGAATTCAAGTTTTGAAAATTATACTCACTAACTTACAATTTTTTTGTCATTGGCTAAAATATTTGAACAGTTAGCAATACTTGTGTTTGTAAATATAACTTGAAACTCAAAATCAACAATACAAAGAATATGCAGAATTTGATAGTGCTTGACTGAAATTTTACCCAAATTTGAAATCTGCTTGAACAAGGGCAAATCTGGTGTCAATGGTCCATGGAAAAATTGTAAAAAAACATGTCTTTGCAAAAAGGGGGACAAAGCTCTTGATAAGAGAGGGGAGTTGTTATATACTTTGAAGCAATTTCACCTCACAAGTAGGTTCATTTTATATCCTACTAAAATGTACATAATAATTTCTCAGTACATATGAACAAGTGTCAGTCAAGTCAAAACATATTAATTTCTATGTTTTTCTTATGCCAGATGTCATGATGGACTCCATATGTTTGAATG